ATATAACTAATCTATTTTCTTTACCTTATACTTTACTCAACATTCAAAATAATCCACTTTCTTCAACACAAGATCTTATCAAAAAATAAATAAAACAATTAGACTAATTAACATAATTTACTCTGAAAGAGCAAAAACTACTTTTAAACCTGATTTCTCTCTTCTACAACATACACTTACTTTTCTCAAAAAAAATTCTTTATCAACTACCCAATCTCAATCCATTCTGTATAACTTCTGCCTCAAAATTCTTTCTAATTCATTACCAACTAAATCTTATTTACACTCTACCTTACTTCACTTCTATACTAATAATCTCTGTTTCTGTTGTAACATTGCTCCAGAAACCATATATTATATCTAACTCTGTAAAGAGAGCAATCTGACTATAACCAAAATAATTAAAAACATCAAAATACAAGCTATTTTCTCTTTCAAAAACAACAAAACTTCAATTCAAAAATTTTTTAACAGCTTACTAACTCACCACTCACCTGTATAGATTTAACTCTTGGTCTCACAAATACCAACTCCTTTTTTACAAATCTCAAACCAACTCCAAAAGACTTAAAAATCCTAAATGAACTTCAAAATGATCTTCTCAACTTAATCTACCAGAAAATATGGATTTTCTGAAACAAAAGCATGAATAAAGAAGAAGAAATATATAAAATCACTCAAGTAGATAAACATAAAAAAAATAAACAATTATATACAAAAAATAACAAAACAAAAAAAAAAACTCTATTGGCAAGCAAATCTCTTAATTCACAATCAAACAACCACACTAACATCATTATTCAATTTTTCTCTGAAAATCTATCAATGTCTTTCTAGGGAGAATGAATTATTAAGGAGGCATTAGCCCTCCAAACATAGATAGTTCCTTTTATTTTTCTTTCTCAAAAATGTTTTTTTCTAAAATATATCTATTTAATGATAGGTCAACATGTATAGTAATGTATCTCACAATCTAAATATTAATTATGTAACATTTTACTCAATTAATAAAGATCATAATAAATGCCTTACTTAACATTTTAAAAAAAATTTAATAATATTTAATTTTAAATTTATTTGCTTATAAAATTATTTTTATTATACTTTAATACTTGTTTATATTTATTTATTAGTCTAAATCTTCACTTATTACTGAAGTTCTTCTTTCTAATTCTCTATTTTCCAGTAGTTGTCCTAGATTATTTTCAGTATTTTCATATTCCTTTGGATTATCTTCTATAGTAATAATTCATGGATCAGTCATTTCTTCATCTTCGCTACTTGAATTTTCTTCTTCGAATCCAAGTCCTTTTTTAATTCTCTCCTAAAAATATTATTAGCAATTATTTATAATACTTCAAAGATTTTTAAAAACTCATCTTATTTTTTTCTACTTTGCTTTTAATTAATGTTTCATTTATTAAAATACTTTTATTATTTGAATCAATAACTGTTTGATATACTGCAATAGCGAATGCTACTTGTTCCTTGAGGGCATCTCTCTTTGACCAAACTTTTTCAAGAATATGAACTATCATGCTTTGTGTTTTTCCTTTTGGATATTTGTGAAGGTTTTCAAAGCATTCAGTAGTTTTCCGAGATTGTTTCCAGGCCAAAATGTCATGTGCTATTTTCTATAAGAAGCCAATTCACATATTGATTCAATAGGCATTAGGATTGTGATATCAAGAAAAGGCATAGCAGTGTAATAATCATCTGGCAGTGTTACAATGATCATTGTTAAGTTTGATGCTTTCCCCATTTCTCATGCATGAGCATACTTCCTTGCCCCTTTAATCTACAAGACTATAAAAGAAACAACTTGATTTTTCAAGAAGACCAAGCTAGAGCCACAAAGACTCCTTGTTAAATATGGCTAGTTCACAGCTGATCGTATTAGGATATGGTTTTTTGAGTTTCTATTTATCGGATGGTGTGTGGGACTGGAAGGCACATATCCTGGCACATTAGCATTCTACCTATTTATTAGAACTCTAGTGTTAATAATATAAAAAGAATGAAAGGCAATAAGCTGACCAGTGGATAAAGTTATAAGAACTTTCTTTATATAGTTTTATTAGATAGATAAGGGAAAAATACATGTATTATAAATTCATATCTAATAAAACAAAGTGTATGCCAATCATCAAAAATATATATATATATAGTTTATTATTATTAAATTAAATCAAAAATCTCTAGAATTAAATATACTAATTTTCACTTTGGAGGTCTACACCTGAAGATCTTTGAAGATTTTTGCTTAAATTTTTTTTGATATTTATATTTCTTCTTTTTTTATTACGAGTCTCAAGGAAATTAAAAAAATATACTAATGCATTGGGATGAAACCTCTAGCCAGAGAAAAACAAGTTTGAAAACTTTACTTTTTTTTGGATTGCCTAAGAAAAGATTACAGCAATTACTTCTTTATAAATTTTTCTTGATATTCTTTTTATTTTATTTTCTTTCAATATACAAATCTTTTTAAATAATCATATTTTCTGCTTAAAGAATTTTTTTTCATCTCAAAAAATTAAAAATTGTTTATATTGTTAATGAAATATCAATAATATATTTAATGTTCATTTCTCACTATTATTTAATATACTTTGCTATACTATCAAAAACCAAAAATTTTTTCATTAAAAAACTCTAATCAGTTTACTCCTGTTAATTGATTAACATTTCAAATTTAATCAATCAAATATTATTAATTTTCCAAATAAATTTATACAACCAAAATCTTATACTTTAATTGATATAAATAAATCTTTTAAAATAACAATAAAAAATTAAATTATCAACAAACAAACTAATCACAAATCATATTATTACAATAACAATACTATTATTATAACTAATTATTTATTAAAAAGATATATTATAATACTATTGTATACTTTGAACAGTAGCCTGGCTATTTCTAAAAATGCAACTATTATATTTTAGTTAAATAACACTACTAACATAATGTATTTGAAGATTTTATCTAAAGTATCTTTAGTTTTATAATTGGTTTTTTTGTATTTATCTTCTTGCTTAATGTTTTTTTTTTTTAATTTTTATTTCTTATAGTTTTACATATAAATTCAAGTAGGTTTTTATATCTGCTTAGCACTATCTTTGATGTATATCAATTTAATATTTATTTTCTTTTATTACTTAGATAGTTTCTATAAGCAAGCTAGCATTAGACTCATTGATTAATTGGTTATATAAGAAATATTATCACTTTCTGCATATAAAATAATTTAATATTTTTATGATAATAAATAAATAAAAAGTAAAAAAAAATCAAATATTATATATAAATCTTTAAAAATCAATATTTTTACAACAAACTATTCAAATTTTACAAATTTATTATTTTTAGATTAAAAAAATTATAGCATTCAAAAAATTTATAGTTTATTATAATAAAAGAAAATTTTTTTAATTGGAATTAATAAAAAAGTAAAATAAAAACAAAATTTTTTTTGAATAATCCATATAATTTTGATGAATTTAAATTCAATTATTTGTACAAAAACATTATTAAAGAGTTTTAGACTTCAAAAAAAAATTTAATATAAATTTTAAAGCAAAAATTAATATCTGTTGAGATATTTAATAATTTGTAATTTTATTCTTGTTTCTTATCTTATAATAAAAAAGTCCAATTTAATCAAATCAAATAAAAATATTTTATTTAATTAATTTAAATCTCTAGTTTTTATTTTGAATAAAAGAAATCAAATTTTAGAATTAATTATAATAAGATTATATGAACAAAATAAAAAATTTATGTGATGAAATATATAATATAATTATTTTCAATATATTTTAAATATTCTTATTAATTATAACTTAGAAGAAACAAAAATTAAATTAAATAATAATATTAATGAAACAACAATTATGTAATTGGAAGAAATTCAATATTGTTATTGATGAAAATATTTATTCAATATATTAAAAAAAATTATAAGAATTAAAATCAATACAATTATTGAATCAGGAAATAAAAATTCAACAAAAACAATAACAATCATATTAATTAAAAAATAAAAATTATAATATTGTTATAAAAAATTTTATTAAGTTCAAATTGAAAAACATAAACATAAAAAAATTTAAATATATTAAATAACAAATATAAATGAATATTTTAAAAATTTTAGACAAACTTTATTATTGGAAATTTATTATTATTGAACAAATAACAATTTTATTGGGTTTTATTGAATAGTATATAAGGCATATTTTTGAAATTAGTTCAAAATTATTTTATTTTTATAGTATTAGAATATTTCTTAAGTATTAAATACTTTCATAAAGCCATATATTGTTGGAAATTTGTAACAGCGAGTTATTGCTACATCACAATCATCATTTCTGTAATATTGGAAGAGGTATAAAAATATAGCAAGAGATAAGTGAAAGTGTTAGATAGTAATCTGAGTTTTATGTTAAAAGGATGGTTTTTATTGTTGCTTTGTCTCTTGTACATTTCTCTCTTTATATACATGTTATAAAATTCCAAAAATTCCAAAAATCTCTCAAGCTTTAATTAAACTCTAATTGGATAAGAATGACATATAATGAATTTATTTACTTTTTTGCTCTTCTTATAATATATAATTATTTACAATTTTAATTTTTAGGAATCTATAGAATATGCTGGTTAAGAGCTGGTTAGTTATTTAGTATCAAATATAGAATAATGTTTGAGACTATAATATTTTATGAAATTATTCAATATTAGTTATTATTATATATATATATATATATTTGTTCTTAATTATATATTTATTTTTTTTTAAAAAAAACTTTATATTGAATAATAATATACATATTGTATGACATTTTGAAAAAATTTTATTGTATAGAATATTCTTTAAAAATCTGAACAAAATAAGTAAAAAAACAAAAGTTGACAAATAAAACAAAAAGATCTATAAAGTAATATATTTGTTTCAAGTTATTGACTTAATAAGCCATACAATAACTTGTTATTTTTAATTATTCAAAGTATAATTATAGCCTTGTAACAAACAAAATATTATTTTTTATTTGAATTGTTTGAAGAAACATTATTTGGATTAAGTTTTAACTATTCAAGATTAATAATTCAGATAAAAGAGAAGGCAACAATATTCAATTTTCAAGAAGTTAGTAAAAGTAATAATAGCAAAGAAATCTTATATTTTTTCAAAATATCTTAAAGTTTATTTATATGGAACTAAAAAAAAATTATTTTTTATAAGTTTTATATTGATAACTATATTGTTAAAAGCAAGTAAAGTTGGCTTCTAGAAGAAAATTAATTCTAATATAATATTTGATATTATAAGATTTTATAAAATTATACAATTAAGTATTATAAAAGAATATTTTTTGATATTTATTCTTCAAATAAACCAATTCTGTTTTAAATTTTTAAATTTTATTATAAAAGAGAAAATATTAATATTGTAAGGAAATAACTTGAACTAGATATTTTAGACACTTATAGCTGATAAGTAAATAACCTAAAAATTTAATTTTCTCTTAAAATAATATAATATAACTAATCAAAGGATTCTTATTATTATCAGTACAAACAATATGATTAATTTTTGACATCTTTATTTTAAAAAGTGAAAAGAATAAAAACAAAATTACTTGAAACAATAATCAATTAAATAATGAAACAAATCCTAAAAATTCTTATTAAGAAAAAATTAAATCAATATGAAATTTTAAAAATTAAAATTAAAAAATAAAAATTTTATTAATATAGGAAAACATTGAAAATTAAAATTGTTCTAAATCTAAATTTGAATAAGAAATTATATAAAAAAATTAATTAACTATTAAATAATTATTTGATTAATATTTAGGGAGGCACTGACCCCCTAACTCAGTAAATAGTTACTTCTAAAATTTTACCAATTAAGGTTTTTATAGAACATATTTACTTATAGGCAGGTCGATGTTTATAGCAACATATCTCAATGTATCACTATTGTTGTAAATTTTATACTAAGTCTTTTCTCTGTAAAAATTGAATCAACAATTAATAAAGATCACAATTTGAGAAGTGCCTCGCAAAAAAAAAAAAAAATTTATAATTTAAGAAATTAAAACATGATTGTAAATATAAATAAAAGTAAATAAGAAAAGACTATTAGATAAATCAAATATAAATAATATATTGAATATTGAAAAATAATATTGAAAAATATAAAATAATATATTGGATATTGAAAAATAATATAGAAAAGTATAAAAATAATGTATACTGTATATATAATGAAAATATAACAAAAAACTAATAAATAATTGACTAAATATTTAATTAATAAAGAAAGTTTAATTAACAAGTAATTATTTTAATAAATTTTTGAATATTACATAATTAAAAAATATTATATGAATACTTTCAAAATATATATAAAATTAATGAATAGATCAATAATTTTATCAAATTTATATATCTTTTTTAAGAACAAAATATGCTGTACTATCATATTGTATAAGTTAAACTAAAGTAACTAATTTATTATATTTTATTACAACAATATAAATAAAAATTTTCAAATATTATTTTTAATTAAATAATTTTATAATTTTATAGATTATATTTTTAATAATTTTTTTACTTGTTTCAAAAAATCAATTATTAATACGATTAATACTTTTAATAAAAGTCAAGAATAATAAATATTATATTTAAAACTTTTAAGTAAAAATTATATTTAAAAATTATATTAAAAAAAAATTTTTTTTTTTTACTATTTTTTTTATTAATTTAAATAACAGATCTTTTATTTAGAGATTATATTAAAAAGTAGTATCACTTATGAGTTATAGACTTAAACTAGCTTTTCTCTTTTATGATTTTTTTTTAAAAAAACAAATAATTTATTTTCTAAAAGATTGATATAAAAATTATCCCAAAATTCAATATTATTTACTTATTGATGGTTAGATTAGATACATTAAAAAAGTTATTATACAATTATTATCTGAATTTTAAGAAGTTTGCCTTGCAATATTTAGAAAAATGGCAGTCAATACCAAGTTTTTACATATGTTATATTAATTATTAAAACATATAGAATGATATACGTATAATAATTAAGAATTTTAATTATTTCGATTTATTTTGGTACACACTGTATTTAAAATATTTCGAGTAAACAAATTAGGTTTATGTAAAGTTGAATTCTTGATGCATCGGATATTTCATTTCATTTCTGAATTATAGCAATTAAAATCGTAATGGTTTAAATCACTTATAAGCAATCAATCGTTGTTTGATCTTTATTATTCATTGTTCAATAATCGATTGCGTTTTCTTTATAACCTGAACAAACTTTTCATCCGTTACTATCTAGGATCATTCCTAATTATTTTTGATGATAATTGAAATGTACAATTCTACACTAAATTATAGTTATAATTCGCCCGAGGATTAATATCAAATGTTTAAATTTATAAATGCTTAAATTGAAATGTTATTGTTCGTAGCTGTGAATATTGATCTATTTGTTTTAAATATTGTAAACGTACTTAAAAAAATATATTTTTTGATCAATTAATCTATTAATTATTTTAGAATAATGTTCAAATGTCCAATGTCCGATGATTATTCCTTTTTCCTTCAAAGAAAAGATTTCTGAAAAATCTACATATATAGTCTTCTTATAAAACATTTTTCCCTTTTAATCTCAAATTTAACATTGTGCCGATCAAGGATTAAAAAAAAGCGTTGCATAATCTTGTTCCCCTCCTGTACGTCTAGGACAATCGTAAAATCCGTGCAACTTTCTCAACAACCTTTCTACCCTTTCGGTATGATCATATCTCGTTTGATCATGTATGTTGTTATATTGTTCGTTTTCTGATTGAATTTTTAAAATTTTGTTCTCTTGTTGTTTAATCCACTGCACCCTCTCCGATGCCTTCAGTTTGTTGTAATTGTTTAACGTTTTTAAGACATTTCTCTTTAGGTACAATGGCAGATCCTGCAAATTTTTGTTTCTTTGTAGTTGTGGAAAACACACTAATAACGTTTCAGGAACGTTCCATTCGTTTAAAAGAGTTTTCCGACTAAATTATGAAGATGAAAAGCAATATTAATTATTTCAATGCTTTTTTTGTCAATCAAATGATTACAGCGAAACTTGGATCAAGGGGAAAAAACGGTAGCTCACCTTACGGTCTTCTCATTCAAGCATTTATTACAACAATACATTCTGAATTCCCAATGCATCGTTAGCTCAAATCTATCCTTCTCATCACAAAACATACATTTCTTTAATAGGACCATAAGCCAGATATACTGCTGTTCCGACATCCCAAGAGGTGGTGCCAGTGAAAGATTCGTCACATATCTCATCCTAGAAGTTCTCCAAATTTGTTGTGTAGTAGTTGAACCCCTTGACCATAACAAACTTCTATATCTTTTACAAACAGACGCTAAAGAATATAGATCCTGGGGATGAAGATAACTACATATTTCTATCAAAATTTCTGACGGAATTGTTTGTGCGACTTGAAGAATCATCGATATTGATGAAATAGAAGAAGAAGAGAGATAATAAAATTGGTCTTCTTCTGATTTACCATGCGCCCTACTGTTTCGCCGTACGGTTGAACTGAACGGGTCGAAACAACTATAAAGGCTTAACTTGGTTAATAACATTTTCGAAAAGAATTATTCTTTTTTTTTTCTTTAATAATTTTCTTTGTGAAAATTGTAATGTTAATTACGTTATGAGCGAAAATTTGCGGTCTGAAAGGAAAAAGCGAAAGTTTAAGAACCATTTTTCTGCACACGCACACTATCATTTAAGGGATTCAATCCTTTTACCAAATCGGCCAAAAAAGGAAATTAATTAGCTAATCAAATACTTTGCAACACAAACAATCATGTATGAATCGTACTGTACTTGGATCTTAAAAAGATTTTCATCTCCAAACCCTAAATGACTAAGTGAGTAGTTTACGCCATCGCCTTTCCACGAATTCTATCGAGAGTACATGTTCTTAACAGACATTCCTGATTTCAACATTATTTAAGACCACATTGGGAACTTTTATGATCCTTTAAAATAACTCCTTTAGATATTAAAAAAGCTGTCGAAATAAGACAAAATTTTTCAACAGCCTATTTGTTCATTGCATGAATTCTTAAATATACTTATTTTCCAGGGATAGCAATATATCTATATTTATAATAGAAGTGAAGGATTTTACGGACACACACATGTGATAAACAAGAAACCAGCTCGCTGAGTAAAAACTATGTTCCGTATAATGTATACGCACAGTTCGCGACATGATTATCTAGATCTAGTCACTGCATACAGAAATATACAACGAATAAAGAAGAAATATTTCTGTTTTATTAATTTTTCGTGTAACTACCTCCTTACAACCTCCTTAGCTTGATTCGTACCTTAAAATCGCGAGTGTTTTTCCCATAATACATCGCCCTCTACGTTTCTTTAATTGTAGACATTTGAATTTCGCGTGTGGATACATTGTTGAAAGCTCCATAATGTACATTAAATTTCATGTTTGTAACATGTCATTTAAGCGTCGTGTGAATGTATTTTCATTCAAAAAAAAAAATTAGGTACAACAGTTTTTCTGACGTGATTCTTCCTAAAAAGGATAGTAATATAGTTAAGCATATTTTTTCTGTGCTTAGCCCGATATATAAAACAAAGATAAATTATCAATGAATTTTATTTATATAGAATATTTATAGAAAATTATAGTAGAAAGCATATATTAGAATTTTATTTTTCGTCAAAGCTAAAACAATATATTATCTATGAAAAGAAATTCATATTTTATAAAAAATATATATAGTTTCGAATTAATTCTTTATCAAAATTTAAAATTAGTTTATTACAGTATATTGATATTGATTTTTTTTTAAATAAACTATCATGCTTACGTAATAAATATTTAAACATCGATTTACCTTTTTAAAATAAAAATTACAAAAACTTAAAGTAATTTATAATTTATGTAAAATATACAGTAGTGTGCAAAAAAAACAGGAATTTTTTTTAACACATATTTTTATTAATAAATTAATATAAAATTATTTAAATATTATAAAACTTTATAAATTTGTTTTTTTTTTTTTTTTTACAAATAAGCATAAAATGTGAGACTTTATTTACTAAATGATAGTACTGTCATTACATTAAGCATTCTTAAAAGTTAATGCTAGCCTATTGCTTTTTTATCCCAACATATTGACTGCACCTTGTGGGTAAATTCACATGCCGAAAGGGAGGCATCAAGAAGATGGAAATCCTGCCTTCAGTTTTAAACCACCTGATCTTGTGTTTCCAGTTTTTGTAAAGGTCCAACCATAATTTAGCATGCTGGTCTTTATTAGATTCCTTTTCACTTTCTACTGTCTGTTCACCAATTTATAGTACATGGTCTTACTTCTTACACTTCCTAGTAAATGCTTTAAGAGTCGTTCCTATAGTTGGCACATACTACCAAATCTGGAGACCTACAGGCCTAGTGGGTCGCGACTCCTAAATCCTCCAATGAATACTCCATAGGCTCTTGGTTGGCTTTAGCTGCCAAATCTAAGGGTACAAATACCAAGCAGAATGTAACTCCTGTAAATTGCCTCTATGAATTGATGCCATACAATGATCCTCTTCAAAGTTTCCTAAATAGGTTGACATGCTTTTTGCTATGGAGTCTACCATGCCAGTTGGGATTGATGGCCATGGTTCTATTTATATCAGTGATCTGATAACTGATATGGCATGATCCTCTTCTGCCAATCTTTTGAAGGGAAGAAGCTGGTCATGGTTTTCGGGTTTGTGATAAAGAGTAATGTGTATCTATTGACTGAAACATCTGAGAGTAGGTTTTCACTAGACAAGCCCACTATCTTAGGTAGGGAGAAACCGTTTCCAGTCTGGTTAAGAATGGTAGAGTAGTGTGGTGTGATGAGGTTTAAAATAAGTGGTTCTAGGGAGAAAAAATCACAAGAAAGAAAAAAAACCTGTCTAGAGGAAAGGGGTAAAGGGAGTTGGGGGAGGGAATAGATGAGTGGATAAATAAAGGAAATTAATTGCACTTGGGCTTGTGATTGCCAGACGTACACAGAGCCTTGCAAGAAAAAGATTAGTTGCCCAGGCCTCTCTAGTTCTTGTCTCAGACTACTGACATGTGCAGGCTTGGTCTGCTTACACTTCCTTAAGCAAGAGTGCTTCTTTTAGATATTGAACTCCAATAGTTAGAAAAGCCTTGTGTGGTGTTAGCACAGCTCAGACTTGACCTGCTTGGAATTTCATCTTGCGTAAAAGAAGAGAAAAGGAAAAGGAAGAAAATTTCCAAAAAAAAAAGTTTTTTGACGAAGTAGGGGTGAGTGGGAAAGAGTTTTTTGTTAAACTTTATAAATTTGTTTTTAAGATAAAAATAAGAAAAACCATATAATTACTTATTAATTTTTATATTAACTTTAATGTTAATTTTAAATATAAAACTAATGTTTTTTTTAAAAAAGTAATAAAAAAAATCAATTCACTATTGTAATTTTTAAAAAATTATTATTATAAATTTTATCTAATTAATAAATAAAATAATTTTATATAAATATATTTAGAATGTTTAAGAATAAAAAAAAATTTTTTTTTAATTTTAAATATACTTTTTATTATAAAAATATTTAAAATTTAAATAGAATTAAAATGTTTGAATAATTTTTCGAATAGTTTTTTATTATAAAATCTATATAAAAAAATTGTGAATTGGTTTTTTTTTAATTTTTTATTAGTTATATATATATAACTTATAACAAACTTATTGATAAAATATTAAAGAACTTATTTATAAAGTTTTATATAGTTTAATTAATTAGTTATTGAATTATAAATAAATATATAATTTTGGTTTTTTTTGCATTATATTGTATATACAGTCTGGAACAAAAAAAAAACTGCCTAAAATTAAAATTAAATCCTTATTTTTATTAATAATTAATTAATTAAAAAGATAAAAAATATTTATTTATTGATTATTAGTTGGATGTATATGCATAGGCAAGCTAGCATTTAACTTGCTATTTTATATACATAAGAGATGTTATTTCTTTTATGATATATACCCTGTTATATACAATATCAAATAAAGAAATAATATTTATCTATGGGGAAAACCTTTCTATGGTTCTGAAAATTGGAATCAAATAGAATCGAACAGAATTGCATAAGGTTCGGAACACTATTAAAAATAATGGTGGGGTATACCCCACCTATTAAATTTAATATAAACTTGAGAATTGAATACAGAATCGAAGAGAATCGTTAGAATCCTTAAACCTTTCCCAAAAAATATTTATTTATTGATCTAAAGATATAATAAATAAATAATTTTAATTAAAAAGAAAAGAATAACAATTTAAAATTTTTTTTTATTATTTATAAAAAAACAATAATAATAAATTATTTAAATTATTTCAATATAAAAATTAATTAATTATAGATTAATAAAGCTTTAAAATATTTTTTTATAATTTTTTTATTAATAAAATATTTTTTTTATAATTTTTCTATTAATATAATATTTTTTAAAAAGTTTTTCTTTAATTTAATATTGTATTAAGCTATCTACTTTTTATATTAATTTAATAAATGATATTTTATTAATAAATATATTTTATCAAAAAGATAATTAGGATTTAATATCTTTTTTTAATAATTAATTAATAATTTTATAGATTTTTTTATAATTAAAAATATTATTATTATTTTTTTTATTTTAGCATTAATAAAATTTTTTTAATATTTTTAATATATATACTGTATATTGATAAATTTTTGAATAGATAAATATTATTTTTCTATTTATTCTTTTTTTTTTTTTTTTTTTTTTTTTTAAACTAGCTTAACCTTGCTTAGCAAACTTTATTAAAGTCAATATTTACATAT